TAACTCTGGCACTTGATAACCCTTCATTCGCTGGCGATCAAATTAGGGATTTGAATGGACAGTGAAATTGAAATCTCAAACTAGAAAAGAGGCTAGTCAACAGTTGGATCAGTCTGATTTTCAGAACATTGTATTATATTGATTTGTTATTAACAAAGACGTTTATAAAATAGACCAAATTAAATAAAAGATTAATACATAAATGATATATAACTTCTTTAAATAAATGAATTAGAACATTTATATTATATTCAATTCAATTTTAAATCTTAGTACCTTTGTTTAATTTAGGAAATCAATATAAATGTATGTGACAAAGATACTATAAAAATATTTTCAAATTTTTTTAGCTTTTTTCTTTATTTTATCAAGCTATAAGATTAACCTCATTGAAGAAAGTTTATGAACCCGTCCTTGCAAATAATTCACCTTTCCCATCATTATCATGCCCTAGTATTTTGGAAAATAAAATTATTGAATTGATTATATATATTCGAACCTGGTTATAACTTAATCATATAATTTACGTATATAATTAATATTACATTATTATGAAGTTTTTTAAAAAAAAAAAAAAAAAGGAAAACCTTGTCATATAAGAGATGTTTGAATTCTGTATAATATTCATCTAAAACTGCAGGTCACTAATTATTAGCTTACTCATTCAGCAATTTTCCAACATATCAAATTTAAATAAAATAAAAAATCAAATCAGAATAAATAGTGTTAAAAAAAAACAAATAACACCCAGAACTGCCTCAAAAATAAACAGTGTTTAAATTAAAATCCCAAGGTTCAAAAGGACATTAAAGTCATTTAACATAAGCACATGGGCATCATTGTCATACCAATACCATTCAACCTTTTTAATAGAACACAGCCTTCCACAATTGGTTGTTGGATACTCCCATCACATCACGCTTTCTATATCTAGTTTCTATCCATTTGCCCTTTTCACCAATCATAATCATAATCAAAATCAACTATCTAGGGCTAGATTCGTCCGTTCAAATAACAAATTAATTAAGTCTTACTTTTCCAATTTATTTACCAAAATACCTACACAGATGGCATGAAAATTAATCACACAAATCGATGGGTATCAAACCTGACAAAAGCTGAAGCCCTCACGTGCCTTTCCCTTTACTCATTGAACGCTTTATCAGTGAACCATACGGTCTTCTCAGGTCAGGTGATATCCAGACCCAGTGGCATTATTGCAAATAAACTCAAAATACATACCCAATCTTAAAACTCACCTTTGTACCACCGGTTGATGGTATATAACTGAATAAACTGAAAGACAAAAGGATCATACTCAGATCCAAATGACGAAAATATCTTTGTGTATTTGCGGGTCTATCTTCATAACCAAGGGCAATAAGGTCAAAAAAAGAGTGGACGTTGTTTTCGATGAAAAGTGATTGATCAGAAAACCCATTAATGGCGGTGATATGACATATCATAAAATCTGGGATAAGGGTATTTAGATATTGAACGCCTTTAAGAATACATTAAGGTCAGATTTACGATGGGGTTTGCTTGAGAAAATGATTTCTCAGAAAATTTTCATGAGATCCAAACAAGTATGTAAGGTCTATTTAACTTGGCTGACAGAATCTCAGGCTTTATTTTATTTTTTCAGTTTTTCTATGCCTGAAAGTTTATAGAGACAAATGAGATATTGATTGAGATTTTAATTAGATTTTGAAGAAGAAGAAAGCTCTGCTCCGAGAAAATTCTGATGCTATGTAAAAACAAAAGAAGGTACATCACATTGAATTATAAAGATTTGACTAGTTTGTTTGAATTGATAAATGAAATTATTTAAAAACTTTTATGTCAACACTTCCCATCTTGTTCACAAACCTGATGCTGAGTAACATATACTATGTAAGTATGTATAATTATAATGGGGTTATAACAATTTTCTTCTCAAGGTTAAGGAAAAGTTTAAAGGCACCCACGGATTCCATAAAGTAATAAATGCATCTAAAAACTTGATACTTTTTTATTCTTTGCCGTATAAATATTAATATAAAGACTATAACCCTTCGGACTTTGCGATATATATATGATCGTGGGTATCTGAGTCAGTTTACGCATATCTCAACTAATCTATTTAGACTCTAAAACTACTGATCGAGTAAGAATTCTAGTGGTTACTTCTATTAGCAATCGATGAATGATTCAAACTCAAAACCTTTTAAATAATACACAGAACAGTCCATATCGAACCACTTGACCATTCAAAGGTATTGTTGGTGACTTCAATTTTTTACTTGACTTTTTGATACTCTTTGTGACCATTCATTTTTATTGATCTAATGTTGATGACTGGTGCTGAATTTGCATTAAACGTAACCATTTTAAACATTTTTCTTACTATGTTGGATCAATAAAGATGAAACACTTTACAAGAAGTGTTAAGATTAAGTCAAAAAAAATTTAAGATACGATATCCCAATGGTTGTGTAATTATATATTCTTTTAAATTTTTATTTTTATTATAAAAATTAAAGAAATAAAATTGAAAAGAACATGAAATTTTGTTTGGAATCCAATTTTAATACATTTATTTTTTTAAAGTACATAAAAAAATTGAATTTAAGTTTTACTTTATTTTTAGTAAATTGTATAACACTAAGTTGTTATGTTGTCGCCAATCAAATGGTAGGTGGGTTCCTAGAGGTATTGTCTGCTTTGCGTTGAGGTTGGACTGTTGGTAGACTCGTACAATTTTGTCTTGAAAAGGTGCTTTTGAGTGGTGAAGGTGTCTTTGTGCTATATAAGTGACAAAGACCCATGTCTTTTAGTTGATGTGGGAATTTGACATCAACATAACCCCCCAAACGAGGGGCTTGGGAGGTTTGGCGTGGGTACAAATTGGCATGCTTAGCCCAAGTAAACTAGAGCCATCCTTCTAGCGCCAACTCCAGTCACATGGTAAGTGGATTCATAGAGAAATTGTCTGCTTTAAGTCAGAGGTTGAACTGCTAGCAGATCCGCACAATTTTGTCTTGAAAAGGTGTTTCTTGGCGGTAAGGGTATCCTTATGATATATAAGAGAACAAAAACATAGTCTAATAGCAGATGTGGGAGTTTGACATCAACACAAACATCCAGAAAAGGGGCTTGGGAGGTTTGGAGTGGGTACAAACAGACACGCTTAGCCTAAATAAAATCAGGCCCTCCTTATAACGACAACTATTGTTATGTCATCTCCAGTCACATGGTAGGTGGGTTCCTAAAGATATTGTTTGCTTTGGGAAAGAGATTGGATTACTGGCAAACCACAACAGTTTTATCTTGAAAAAGCGACTATAGGTGGTAAGGGTGTCCTTATGCTATATAAGCGACTAAGACCCTTGTCTTATAGACAACGTGAGAGTTTAACATCAACACAACCACTCAGACGAAGGGCTTGAGAGGTTTGACGTGGGTACAAACTGGCACGCTTAGCCTAGGTAAACCCAAACCCTCATTCTAGCACCAATTGTTGTTATGTCGTCTCTAATCACATGGTAGGTGGGATCAAAAAGATATTATCTGTATTGGGATAAAGATTGGAATGATGGCAGACCCACACAATTTTGTTCTAAAAAGAAGCCTATAGGTGGTGAGGGTGTTATTGTGCTATATAAGCGATCAAGACCCTCATCTCCTAGCCGATGTGGGAGTTTGACATCAACACACTATATAATGATTTAATTACTTTTATATTTATATTCATTAAAATTTATTAACAAATATTACTATTGATATAATTACGGTACAAATTGAAGAAATAAAAATAAATTTTTTTTTTTGTAGTTAGACAAAGGGCATTATAGGGCTTTACATGATAAAGTAATCGAATTTTTTTTTGTGGATTTGTTACTTTTCAAAACCTTTAGGTAAATTTTATTTTCCTCCAAGCTTGAGGAGGAAATTGTTATAAATAACAAAATAGAGAAAAATGATAGTTTTATTTTAATTTTGAAATAAGATATTAGATGGCCCATCTTCTCTTTCTCCTGCATTCTTTGTTGTCTTTTCATTCAACAAAAAAAAAAGGTAAAGAAAATCTAAACAGTAATGTTAGTCTTACAAAGAAGCCTACAAAGAAAGCATACAAAGTTAACCTCCACCCTTCATCTTCATCATTTCTCTCTCTCTCTTTCTCTTTTTCCGTTTTTCCTTTGTTTTTTCTTCACTTTGTAAGCTTCTTTGTAGACTTCTTTGTAAGGATAGACTTATTGAAATCTAAATGATGTATAATTAGTATAAATATTCAATGGTAGAAGTGATGATATATGTGATATACAGGGGTAAAACTGGTCATGCAGTAAAATAATGAAAACGGGGAAATCTCGAAACGATGACGTGGAGGTTGTACGGTTCATCCCGTCCATGACGGGTTAAAAATAAAAATAAAAATAAATATCATTTGATCGAAGGAGCTGTCGCGTCGGCATCACTAACTTTCTCATTAAAATTTACTTTTTACTATTTTTAGCTCATTTAATCTGCAAATTTTAACCACTAATTCACTCAACACCCAAAGACAGTATCACGCTCTAACCTATGCCACTCGCACACTACGCCACACTTGAATTGTTTTTGTCCTCACTCGCCTACGTGGAGGGGCGTGCGCACTACGCACCCTGGCATAGGTTAGGTAGATGTGTTGTGCTTCGACCTTCTCGGCCTTTTTCACTCCATGTCTGTGTCAGCTTGAGCAACGGTGGACTGAACAATAATAATAATAATAATAATTATTTTAATCATATAATTATAATTATAATTTATTTATTCATTTTTTTTTCTTCACTGCGTTTGCTATAATACGCAAGGTCTTCTGTTGCCTTCTTGTTTGGCTCTGCAACTTTTTTATTTTATTAAGTTTACAGAGAGAGAAAGAGAAAGAAACAGCTTTGTTTTAGAGATTCCTTTAATGGTAGATCCGACCTTTCACTAGCTTCAATCTACCATTATCTCTTTTTCTCTTCGTATTTTTCTCTCTTTATATTTTACTTTGCTTGTTTGGCTTCGTTCGTCGAATCTAATCTTCCATTTTTGCGACAGTGACGAAGTGCTTTTGATTATTAATGATGAAATTTTCGTAAATTGATTACTGGTTAGTTATTGTTTTATGGAGTTGTGAAAATTTGAGTTATTGAGATAATGATAATGGAGTCTAAGAGAAAAAAGGAATCGCCTAGCTCCGCCGGGTCAACTCAGTTCCCAGACGAGGTACTCGAGCGAGTGCTCGCTTTCTTAACTTCACACAAAGATCGAAGCTCAGTTTCTCTGGTTTGTAAAGACTGGTACAACGCAGAACGGTGGTCCAGAACTCACGTGTTTATCGGCAACTGTTACTCGGTTTCGCCGGAGATTTTGGCGCGCCGGTTCCCCAATATTCGCAGCGTCACTCTGAAAGGGAAGCCGAGATTCTCGGATTTCAATTTGGTTCCGCAAAACTGGGGAGCTGATATTCACGCGTGGCTCGTGCCTTTTGCTGATAAATATCCGTTCCTTGAGGAACTGAGGTTGAAAAGAATGACCGTGAGTGATGAGAGTTTGGAGTACTTGGCTGCAAATTTCCAGAATTTTAAAGTGCTTTCTCTTTTGAGTTGTGATGGATTCAGCACTGATGGTCTTGCTGCAATTGCTACACATTCCAAGTAAGTTTGAAAATTTTATTAGCTTTTATTTATTTATTTATTTATTTTTTGGTTTTGTTGGTTTGGACTTGAATAGTTAGAGATCTTGGCAGTATTTTTTTTGATTAAAAAGAAGTTGATTTGTTGGAGCATATTACTGTCAATGGGTTCTCTTTTGGTTTGATGAAGCTATGAGCTATAATGGAACATGCGGTTGAGAAATAAATGCGTTAGCTTTATTGTTGTTACTATTTAAGAGAATTGAAGCGTTACTTTCGTTTCTATTTCTTTGTTTTTCTTCTGTTATTTGTAGATGTGACTTTTGACCTGTACTTCGCATTCAATTGGAGGTTTATCCTTGATGTCATCCCACAAAAATATCCCCAATTTATTACAAGTTAAATTTATGGAACAGACTGATAACTTGTTGCTTACTAATGTTTTTACAAATGAGTGATTTCATCAGAAGAATAATTCACTTGTTTGATCTCCTTGTGTCTATGTTTAACTTTTTATCTATTTCTGTTGCTACTATTGGATTCATATGTAAAAGGTCTTCTTTCTAATCGAACTGTAGCATCTTCTAGGGGAATGGCTTGTATCTATCCTGTCAGTTTAGTTTTTGCTATGATGTAACTAGCAATTTGAATGCAACGGATTTGCAGATTTAATGGGTAGCTTTGATTACTGATTTTATATGGATAAGTGGACAATGAGTTATTTGCTTTTAATAGTTGACTTTGAATCATGTTGTTTTTACTAGTTCTTTATAGTAACTTTGGTTTCTTTGAACGGTTATGAGTTATAAGTGACTCCAGGAAAGTTTCAGGCTGAAATGGAGTACAGTATTAATGAGAACTTCTCTTTCGAGTGGTATCTTTGTTTGGTCAATTGAGTGACATGTATTTGGACATGGTTTTAAAGCAAATATGTTGGTTTCTTGAGTAGAGAGTTTGCTTGATTTTCTTTCTAGTACATGTAAAACAGGACTTTGGTGGTTGTAGAAGTAGCACTTCTCCATTTCTTTTCTCCTCTGATTTTCTTCCTTTTTCTCCCCTCTCTGATATGAACCTTGACCTTTTAATATGCACTTAGAGTATCTCCAATGGTGCTCTTTATTTTAAAGAGCATATTTCACATAAATAAAGAGCATTTTCATTAATTTCTAAATATAAAGAATAAAATTTGTATTCAAATCCAATGGACTCTTTAAATCAGACTTAATAAATAAGAGAGAGAGACTTAATAGGAGAGAGAATTAATAATAAAATGCATAGAAACTTCACTCTTTAGTTTATATTTAAAGAATAAAGAGTTTATTGGACTTTTGTTTTTATAAACAAACTCTTTATAATAAAGAGTTTAAGTTATATAAATAGTCATTTGGAGATGGGTTATATAAAGAATCCTTTGGAGATGCTCTTACATCTGTGATGTCATTATCCTTGCAATTATACCCATGTTCATGGGGTGAAAGAATATTCATCCTTATCTCCCTTGGTGGATTACTGTAAGATATCTCATTCTCTAGTTGTCACTACAGTTGGTTCATGTATTTCCCCATCTGCAAGGAAAATTTTGTCCATAATATGTTTTACTGTGTATAGTATGTATTAGTGTGAAGGTAGATTAATGTGATGCGATTGGTGTGGACTTTGGATCTTTACTGGTGCTAGTAACTTTTATTCCATGTTATTTCATCATTAAATATCTATTAGAATTTTTTTTTTTTTTTTTATTCCTGATTGGTTTTATGTCCCTAATTTAAAATAAATAGAATAGAGGTAAGATTAAGTGTGTGATCTGTGGTCAACTGATTCATTGACAATGTTACATTCTCAAGATAAGTGTGTCTCTTTCTGGACATGTTTTTTCTATTGAAGAATCATATGATTTAAGACTGGTCTGGCTACCAAAACCTGGCCATTAAATAATGGAGAATCCATTTACCTATGCGAATTTAAAAGGAGAAATTCCTTAAATCAATTGCCTAGGGCAATTAAATAATCAACTTGTAGCATCTTATGGTTTAAAGTGTGAAGTTTATTTAACTGATTCTGTCTGGGCCTATTTACCCTAGACTTGCAACTCAAATTATGTATGTGATGCATCGGATTCTTATACTTGATCTCTGTCACTTGGTTGTACAAGTATTGTCACCTGTGCCCTCTGTTCATACATACAATCAATTTATCATAATCTGATCCTCTCCTGTGGAACTTGGAATGAGTCGAGGACTTAAAATGATTTGCAGCTTGGTCAAAATGATAGAAAATTGCTTGGTAGTTTCAATGAAGCTTTCTCTGATTTTTTTATTTCTTTTCACTTCTGTTTACTGGTTCCAGATTCTTAGTTCTGTTTTCTTTTCTGAATATTTAGAAAACAGAGACTGTCTCTATGACGTTCAACCATTTACTTCTCATATTAGATTTTGCATCTAGTTAGAAACTTCTAATTTCTACTTTGGTTTCAGGAATTTGACTGAGCTTGACATCCAGGAGAATGGTGTCGAAGATAGAAGTGGAAGTTGGTTGAGCTGCTTCCCTGAAAGCTTTACATCATTGGAAGTACTGAACTTTGCCAGCATGAGTGCTGAAGTTAATTTTGATGCACTTGAGAGACTTGTCTGTAGGTGCAAATCATTGAAGGTGTTGAAGGTTAACAAAAGTATTTCTTTGGAACAATTACAAAAGCTACTTACTCGTGCTCCTCAGCTAGTGGAACTTGGTACTGGTTCCTTTTCACAAGAGCTCACTACCAGGCAGTATGCAGAGCTAGAAAGTGCATTCAACAATTGCAAGAATATACATACCCTGTCTGGTTTATGGGAAGCAACTGCTTTATATCTCCCAGTTCTATACCCTGCCTGTGCAAATTTGACATTCTTGAATTTGAGCTATACTGCTTTGCAAGGTGGTGACCTTGCCAAGCTGCTTGTGCACTGTCCACGTCTTCAGCGTCTTTGGGTAAGAATTCTATATTTCTTATATCGTTGTCATTCATCTCAATTCTCTGGAAAAATAATTCTGAAGTTGATAAGACATAATATAAGAAATAGAACAATTCTTTTTAACCTTGTAAGACTGCCAAATTGCAGAAATTCATAGTTCTTTGTCTTACTGAGACACTAGTTTTTGCCTGCCAATTTAGAAGTTGGCTTTTTGTATTGTTATCTTCTAGATACTGAAGAACTTGGGAGAGTTGTACTAGGTTGTACTGTAGAAGTGTTTGGAGAATTTTGTCTTGATGGTAGTGCCTTCTTAATGTTAAACCCATGCTAGGAATGATCACTACTCTTTTACAGATATTACTTATTCATATCAGCTGTGCTTCCACCTTGGATTTTTCATTTGCATTTCCTGACCTATTAAAAGTGTGTCAACATTTTTAACCATAATGTTTATGTTCATTTACTGATGGGTGGTCTTTGTTGTTGCAACTATTAGATCTATCTGCCATTGGCTTTTCTAAGTGTTTTATATCAAAAATGATATAGGACATATAAGCATGGACGTTAAGTTATTTTAGTGTTTTATTCTGTTTATCTTAGGGTTTGATCTGTCAAGGTTGTTTTGGAATTCAGGATTCTAGTTTTTAAGATTTCTTTTGATTTGAATGAACATAGAAGGTAAATTTAAGATGGTGATGTGTTTGGGGAATGAATTTAGGGTTTGGTTTAAGGGTTGTCTAAAATGTTTTGATGGAAATTTGGAAAGAATAGGGAGAAGAAGGGGAAGAAACTTTTCAGAGATTGTAGGAAAATAGTATTTTATTAATCAATCATCAAAGTCTATTTTCTAAATGAACATGAAGGCCTATTTGTACTCTTCAAATTCTAATACTAATCAAAAGCAGAAACATACTCCTAATTAAAATAAAAATAAAAATAATAGTCCAAAACATCCTTGATGAATCAAATTCCAAGGTAAATAAAATGAAAGATTATAGTCTCTGCATTCATGCTTATGTGTACTACATCTAAAACGTTGGCTTCATATTTAGCATTATGTAATGGCGAGTGATTCATGCGAGCGCATCCACCAATAACACCTTCATAGCAATCTCACCAATTATTTTGAGCAAAAACTGGAGATTGTCCCAAAAAGCTGCTATGACTCCCTACAATGACTTGTCTTGTATGAACTTTACAGTTTTAGTGACTAAAAGTTTTCAAAGTCTGATCTCATATTGACTTTCTTCGTACAGGTCCTGGACACGGTAGAAGACAAAGGGCTGGAGGCTGTTGGTTCCTATTGTCCATTGCTCGAGGAACTCCGTGTTTTTCCTGCTGATCCCTTTGATGAGGAAATTATCCATGGGGTAACTGAAGAAGGGTTTGTTGCTGTCTCTTTTGGCTGTCGGAGACTCCACTATGTCCTTTACTTCTGCAGGCAAATGACTAATGCTGCTGTAGCAACCATTGTACAGAATTGCCCGGATTTCACTCATTTCCGTCTTTGCATAATGAATCCAGGACAACCAGATTATCTGACAAATGAACCCATGGATGAGGCTTTTGGTGCTGTAGTGAAGACTTGCACTAAACTCCAAAGGCTTTCAGTTTCAGGTCTCTTAACTGACTTGACATTTGAGTACATTGGGAAATATGCCAAAAATTTGGAAACCCTTTCAGTAGCTTTTGCTGGCAGTAGCGGCCGGGGGATGGAGTGTGTACTTGGAGGTTGTCCAAAGTTGAGAAAACTTGAGATAAGGGATTGCCCATTTGGGAATGAAGCACTGCTCTCAGGTTTGGAGAAGTATGAATCCATGAGATCACTTTGGATGTCAGCTTGCAACGTGACAATGAATGGTTGTAGGCAATTGGCAAGGAAGATGCCTAGGTTGAATGTAGAGGTGATGAAGGAAGATGGAAGTGATGACAGTCAAGCTGATAAGGTTTATGTTTACCGCACTGTTGCTGGGCCAAGAAGGGATGCCCCTCCTTCTGTACTCACTCTCTGATGTTTAAAGCTACTTGGTAATCTCTCTCTTTCACATACACACACACACACACATGAATAGGGGCCCACAAACTGGTAATATCCCAACTAGATATTTTAGTAGGCCTTATGCTAATGAAATCCTGCACCTTGACGGTTGAGGCACAAGTGTCCACTTGGCATCCGTTAAGAAATTACTTATGGACGTTAGTGTTATATTCAGTGTAGCTAGTATTCTCTGTATATATCTTCTCTGATTTTTTATTTCTTTTCACTTCTGTTTACGGTTCCAGATTCTTAGTTCTGTTTTCTTTCTGAATATTTAGAAAACAGAGACTGTCTCTATGACGTTCAACCATTTACTTCTCATATTATTTTGCATCTAGTTCGAAACTTCTAATTTCTACTTTGGTTTCAGGAATTTGACGAGCTTGACATCCAGAGAATGGTGTCGAGATAGAAGTGGAAGTTGGTTGAGCTGCTTCCCTGAAAGCTTTACATCATTGGAAGTACTGAACTTTGCCAGCATAGTGCGAAGTTAATTTTGATGCCTTGAGAGACTTGTCTTAGTTGCAAATCATTGAAGGTGTTGAAGGTTAACAAAAGTATTTCTTTGGACAATTACAAAAGCTATATCCGTTCCTTGAGGAACTGAGGTTGAAAAGAATGACCGTGAGTGATGAGAGTTTGGAGTACTTGGCTGCAAATTTCCAGAATTTTAAAGTGCTTTCTCTTTTGAGTTGTGATGGATTCAGCACTGATGGTCTTGCTGCAATTGCTACACATTCCAAGTAAGTTTGAAAATTTTATTAGCTTTTATTTATTTTATTTATTTATTTTTTGGTTTTGTTGGTTTGGACTTGAATAGTTAGAGATCTTGGCAGTATTTTTTTTGATTAAAAAGAAGTTGATTTGTTGGAGCATATTACTGTCAATGGGTTCTCTTTTGGTTTGATGAAGCTATGAGCTATAATGGAACATGCGGTTGAGAAATAAATGCGTTAGCTTTATTGTTGTTACTATTTAAGAGAATTGAAGCTTTACTTTCGTTTCTATTTCTTTGTTTTTCTTCTGTTATTTGTAGATGTGACTTTTGACCTGTACTTAGCATTCAATTGGAGGTTTATCCTTGATGTCATCCCACAAAAATATCCCCAATTTATTACAAGTTAAATTTATGGAACAGACTGATAACTTGTTGCTTACTAATGTTTTTACAAATGAGTGATTTCATCAGAAGAATAATTCACTTGTTTGATCTCCTTGTGTCTATGTTTAACTTTTTATCTATTTCTGTTGCTACTATTGGATTCATATGTAAAAGGTCTTCTTTCTAATCGAACTGTAGCATCTTCTTGGGGAGTGGCTTGTATCTATCCTGTCAGTTTAGTTTTTACTATGATGTAACTAGCAATTTGAATGCAACGGATTTGCAGATTTAATGGGTAGCTTTGATTACTGATTTTATATGGATAAGTGGACAATAAGTTATTTGCTTTTAATAGTTGACTTTGAATCATGTTGTTTTTACTAGTTCTTTATAGTAACTTTGGTTTCTTTGAACGGTTATGAGTTATAAGTGACTCCAGGAAAGTTTCAGGCTGAAATGGAGTACAGTATTAATGAGAACTTCTCTTTCGAGTGGTATCTTTGTTTGGTCAATTGAGTGACATGTATTTGGACATGGTTTTAAAGCAAATATGTTGGTTTCTTGAGTAGAGAGTTTGCTTGATTTTCTTTCTAGTACATGTAAAACAGGACTTTAGTGGTTGTAGAAGTAGCACTTCTCCATTTCTTTTCTCCTCTGATTTTCTTCCTTTTTCTCCCCTCTCTGATATGAACCTTGACCTTTTAATATGCACTTAGAGTATCTCCAATGGTGCTCTTTATTTTAAAGAGCATATTTCACATAAATAAAGAGCATTTTCATTAATTTCTAAATATAAAGAATAAAATTTGTATTTAAATCCAATAGACTCTTTAAATCAGACTTAATAAATAAGAGAGAAACTTAATAGGAGAGAGAATTAATAATAAAATGCATAGAAACTTGTAATTTATTAAATAAATTAGGGACCGAGAGTGAAATTTGACTCTCTAGACGTAGAGAGCTAAACTCACTCTTTAGTTTATATTTAAAGAATAAAGAGTTTATTGGACTTTTGTTTTTATAAACAAACTCTTTATAATAAAGAGTTTAAGTTATATAAATAGTCATTTGGAGATGGGTTATATAAAGAATCCTTTGGAGATGCTCTTACATCTGTGATGTCATTATCCTTGCAATTATACCCATGTTCATTGGGTGAAAGAATATTCATCCTTATCTCCCTTGGTGGATTACTGTAAGATATCTCATTCTCTAGTTGTCACTACAGTCTGTTCATGTATTTCCCCATCTGCAAGGAAAATTTTGTCCATAATATGTTTTACTGTGTATAGTATGTATTAGTGTGAAGGTAGATTAATGTGCTGCGATTGTTGTGAACTTTGGATCTTTACTGGTGCTAGTAACTTTTATTCCATGTTATTTCATCATTAAATATCTATTAGAATTTTTTTTTTTTTTTTTATTCCTGATTGGTTTTATGTCCCTAATTTAAAATAAATAGAATAGAGGTAAGATTAAGTGTGTGATCTGTGGTCAACTGATTCATTGACAATGTTACATTCTCAAGATAAGTGTGTCTCTTTCTGGACATGTTTTTTCTATTGAAGAATCATATGATTTAAGACTGGTCTGGCTACCAAAACCTGGCCATTAAATAATGGAGAATCCATTTACCTATGCGAATTTAAAAGGAGAAATTCCTTAAATCAATTGCCTAGGGCAATTAAATAATCAACTTGTAGCATCTTATGGTTTAAAGTGTGAAGTTTATTTAACTGATTCTGTCTGGGCCTATTTACCCTAGACTTGCAACTCAAATTATGTATGTGATGCATCGGATTCTTATACTTGATCTCTGTCACTTGGTTGTACAAGTATTGTCACCTGTGCCCTCTGTTCATACATACAATCAATTTATCATAATCTGATCCTCTCCTGTGGAACTTGGAATGAGTCGAGGACTTAAAATGATTTGCAGCTTGGTCAAAATGATAGAAAATTGCTTGGTAGTTTCAATGAAGCTTTCTCTGATTTTTTTATTTCTTTTCACTTCTGTTTACTGGTTCCAGATTCTTAGTTCTGTTTTCTTTTCTGAATATTTAGAAAACAGAGACTGTCTCTATGACGTTCAACCATTTACTTCTCATATTAGATTTTGCATCTAGTTTGAAACTTCTAATTTCTACTTTGGTTTCAGGAATTTGACTGAGCTTGACATCCAGGAGAATGGTGTCGAAGATAGAAGTGGAAGTTGGTTGAGCTGCTTCCCTGAAAGCTTTACATCATTGGAAGTACTGAACTTTGCCAGCATGAGTGCTGAAGTTAATTTTGATGCACTTGAGAGACTTGTCTGTAGGTGCAAATCATTGAAGGTGTTGAAGGTTAACAAAAGTATTTCTTTGGAACAATTACAAAAGCTACTTACTCGTGCTCCTCAGCTAGTGGAACTTGGTACTGGTTCCTTTTCACAAGAGCTCACTACCAGGCAGTATGCAGAGCTAGAAAGTGCATTCAACAATTGCAAGAATATACATACCCTGTCTGGTTTATGGGAAGCAACTGCTTTATATCTCCCAGTTCTATACCCTGCCTGTGCAAATTTGACATTCTTGAATTTGAGCTATACTGCTTTGCAAGGTGGTGACCTTGCCAAGCTGCTTGTGCACTGTCCACGTCTTCAGCGTCTTTGGGTAAGAATTCTATATTTCTTATATCGTTGTCATTCATCTCAATTCTCTGGAAAAATAATTCTGAAGTTGATAAGACATAATATAAGAAATAGAACAATTCTTTTTAACCTTGTAAGACTGCCAAATTGCAGAAATTCATAGTTCTTTGTCTTACTGAGACACTAGTTTTTGCCTGCCAATTTAGAAGTTGGCTTTTTGTATTGTTATCTTCTAGATACTGAAGAACTTGGGAGAGTTGTACTAGGTTGTACTGTAGAAGTGTTTGGAGAATTTTGTCTTGATGGTAGTGCCTTCTTAATGTTAAACCCATGCTAGGAATGATCACTACTCTTTTACAGATATTACTTATTCATATCAGCTGTGCTTCCACCTTGGATTTTTCATTTGCATTTCCTGACCTATTAAAAGTGTGTCAACATTTTTAACCATAATGTTTATGTTCATTTACTGATGGGTGGTCTTTGTTGTTGCAACTATTAGATCTATCTGCCATTGGCTTTTCTAAGTGTTTTATATCAAAAATGATATAGGACATATAAGCATGGACGTTAAGTTATTTTAGTGTTTTATTCTGTTTATCTTAGGGTTTGATCTGTCAAGGTTGTTTTGGAATTCAGGATTCTAGTTTTTAAGATTTCTTTTGATTTGAATGAACATAGAAGGTAAATTTAAGATGGTGATGTGTTTGGGGAATGAATTTAGGGTTTGGTTTAAGGGTTGTCTAAAATGTTTTGATGGAAATTTGGAAAGAATAGGGAGAAGAAGGGGAAGAAACTTTTCAGAGATTGTAGGAAAATAGTATTTTATTAATCAATCATCAAAGTCTATTTTCTAAATGAACATGAAGGCCTATTTGTACTCTTCAAATTCTAATACTAATCAAAAGCAGAAACATACTCCTAATTAAAATAAAAATAAAAATAATAGTCCAAAACATCCTTGATGAATCAAATTCCAAGGTAAATAAAATGAAAGATTATAGTCTCTGCATTCATGCTTATGTGTACTACATCTAAAACGTTGGCTTCATATTTAGCATTATGTAATGGCGAGTGATTCATGCGAGCGCATCCACCAATAACACCTTCATAGCAATCTCACCAATTATTTTGAGCAAAAACTGGAGATTGTCCCAAAAAGCTGCTATGACTCCCTACAATGACTTGTCTTGTATGAACTTTACAGTTTTAGTGACTAAAAGTTTTCAAAGTCTGATCTCATATTGACTTTCTTCGTACAGGTCCTGGACACGGTAGAAGACAAAGGGCTGGAGGCTGTTGGTTCCTATTGTCCATTGCTCGAGGAACTCCGTGTTTTTCCTGCTGATCCCTTTGATGAGGAAATTATCCATGGGGTAACTGAAGAAGGGTTTGTTGCTGTCTCTTTTGGCTGTCGGAGACTCCACTATGTCCTTTACTTCTGCAGGCAAATGACTAATGCTGCTGTAGCAACCATTGTACAGAATTGCCCGGATTTCACTCATTTCCGTCTTTGCATAATGAATCCAGGACAACCAGATTATCTGACAAATGAACCCATGGATGAGGCTTTTGGTGCTGTAGTGAAGACTTGCACTAAACTCCAAAGGCTTTCAGTTTCAGGTCTCTTAACTGACTTGACATTTGAGTACATTGGGAAATATGCCAAAAATTTGGAAACCCTTTCAGTAGCTTTTGCTGGCAGTAGCGGCCGGGGGATGGAGTGTGTACTTGGAGGTTGTCCAAAGTTGAGAAAACTTGAGATAAGGGATTGCCCATTTGGGAATGAAGCACTGCTCTCAGGTTTGGAGAAGTATGAATCCATGAGATCACTTTGGATGTCAGCTTGCAACGTGACAATGAATGGTTGTAGGCAATTGGCAAGGAAGATGCCTAGGTTGAATGTAGAGGTGATGAAGGAAGATGGAAGTGATGACAGTCAAGCTGATAAGGTTTATGTTTACCGCACTGTTGCTGGGCCAAGAAGGGATGCCCCTCCTTCTGTACTCACTCTCTGATGTTTAAAGCTACTTGGTAATCTCTCTCTTTCACATACACACACACACACACATGAATAGGGGCCCACAAACTGGTAATATCCCAACTAGATATTTTAGTAGGCCTTATGCTAATGAAATCCTGCACCTTGACGGTTGAGGCACAAGTGTCCACTTGGCATCCGTTAAGAAATTACTTATGGACGTTAGTGTTATATTCAGTGTAGCTAGTATTCTCTGTATATATGATTGAGCATGGAAACATTTGAATGATGGCTTCTGTTAGTTCGTTATTTTGAAATATAATTTTGAAATATTTTAATAGAAATTCATGTCAATATGCTTGCGCTTCCTTTGTATATTTGTATTTTATATTACGCCCATTACTGATTTGGAATTTCATACTTTCAGCTTCCAGGGTTTCGCAGAGTTCAAGTTTCCCTCATTCTGACACCATGCTTAAATATTGATACAACTGAAATGATATTTGTGATAGGAGAAGAGGAAAATAGGGGACTGGCGAGACTTGAAATTTGTTCTTCAACTACAGTTTCTTTTTTTAATACAACCCAGGAAGAATGGGAAAGCCTAAAGGATATAAGAAACAACACTTATGCATTTACAGTCTCCAAGATTGGAAACTTTGCTTCATCCGCTTGATTTACGACACCCCTGAAAAGCATTATTGAAAGACTGCCAATGCCAAAGTAGATGAAGCAGCCATGGCAGTGTGTCACAAATGAACCAAAATCTGTCCCCACTATGCATTGCCATCCAGGTCCGTGCGTCTTGTCGAAGTCCTGCATTGGGAAGAGACACCGTGAGATAACAAGAGGTGAAATTCCGGCACTTGCAGGATTCGAGACCCAGTATGATAAAAATACAGAGTTTATAAGTTTACCTTCTTTATGAATCGAGCTATCTCAGTAGACTCCGTGACATCAAAGAGATCAAGAGCCTTTGCAGCCAAATGAAGGGCATCTTGCTGCACTGTCTGAAGCATGTCAGTCTCACCAACTATGGCTTTGCCTTCCAACATGGTCACCAAGAAAAGCTATGTAACTAAGTTGAGAAGGAGAAAAGCTATGTAACTAAAGCTGTGGGGATTGAAGGGATGGGTGATGGTGGGTTTATATGGACAAAGTGAGTAAAGGGTGGGTTCTGATGGCTCAGTTGTATCTGGCCTGAATCTGGGAGGTGTCATCAATCTGGTGTAATGGATAAAGCCGAGGACATGGAAGCATCAGGGGAGCCATATAATTGGAGGTGGCTGAATCATATGCAATTGGATGTCGATCATCTTTGATCAACGGCTAGATGGGATGCTCATGGTTAGTTGATAAAATGATAATGGGTCCACATTATCTTGGAGATGGTGGGATGTTTGTGGTTGTGACTAGTAAATGCCATGAATTTTCCTGGTGGATATTTTAAGGTTGATAATGAATTGTCTTTTACCTACATTTTTTGCGTTCTTTTGTGCTTTTTTTTTTCTGTTTGATTTGAAGACTTGGGTTTCTTGTATTGATTGGAATTTTGGAGTCGAGGGGGGGTTGTTTTATTGAAGTTCCAAATTGACTAACCAACTCTGAACAATTCTTAAGGCTTTCCCCTTCTCTTTCATGCACGTGAATCACAAATTGATTTGCTTTCAGGTTCCGTATGCAATGATGTCACAGTGACATTTCTTAATTTTTATATAATATGATCATGGAACTCTAGATCAAGATGCTTGTTGGATTATATAATATTGACCTTAAGTCTCAGGAATGTTTATATCGTTCATCTTCAGATACTAGTTGTAAGAGAAAGGGAGAGAAGTTTGAAGTAATTGATAACTGCCAAAATTAAATCAACCCAAGGAATGTCCAAAATATATACATAAACCATCTGTACTTTATGCAATTAAAAACCATCTCTTTTAAGTTCAAAATAACAAAGCTTGCAACAGAAGTTGTTAATTAGGCCCAGTGTAATTCCCCTCATCTCTTCTCATCTATGTCCATCAGTAATATATTGAATTAAAATAGCAACTCAACACCACCACAATATTGAATTAAAATAGCAACTCAACACCACCACACCCCCCACACACCCAACGCCCCCCCACCCACCCCCCCACCAACCCCCCCCCCCCCCCCCCCCCCCCCCCCCCCCCCGCCTTTTTTTTTTACCAATGCCATGTATTTTTCATCCCCAACCTAAAATAAATACAATTTCTCTGGGTGACCGAGTGGTTGATAGAGACTTTAGATGTTTATTAAGAGGTCTTGAGTTCGAGTCCTTTATTGGGTGTTATAGGAATAGCAACTAGAACTCTTACCTAACCGATAGTTCAAAGGTCTCAAGAGATTAATTATGATGTGCGTAAACTAATAAACACCTGTGGTTATAAAAAAAAAAAAAAAAACCTAAAATAAATACCTCTACGCCTCATACACCATGTGAAAACATTAGTGGAGTTGTCAATTGTGATGCCCCAAAAGGCATTAAGTAGTCTGTGGGGCTTAAAAAAAGCAATGTGGGCGTGGCCCCTTTTCATTTTTTGAGTTGCTTCTAAGATTACTTCGCAGGCAACCATTTTCACCATTCCATTTATTTATTTATTTCTTATCTTAGTCTTTCCATGTTGATTTATCTATTTGGTTCACGAATTTCTCTTGTTGTTCTAGTGGGCCAGGACCTTTGACTAGTCAGCTCTGTTTTTCCACCAATTACAGATTGTCTCCATTTCCCCGTTATTCAGGTTTAGAGAGGATATCTATGAAACAATACGGATTGATGCTTTCTTTGCTTTCAATTTTTATTTAATTATACACAAGTTTATGATTCATAATTAATTACCAATAATTAAATCTTAAACCAATAATGGGTTAGTCGAGTGTTTAAGGTTTGGGGCAGGAGGTTTGCTCTTTTTGTGATCTTAGGTCAAATAACAAGAACGGTTGTTAATATTGTTAGGTCCCGATTGCAAGACTTGCCCTCTTTCAAAAGCCTTGTTCGGGGTCGGAAAACTAGTCGAGGTGCGTTATGCAAGCTACTGACTAGACACCACCAAATACAAAAAAAAAAAAAAAAAAAAGAAAAAAAAAATCTTAATATGTCATCAAATTATCAATTTACACCTCTTCAAAAAACACATGTTTAGTGCCAACAAGCTCAAAACAAAATTTCAAGAAACCCTTGACAAAATGAACAAATAACGAGTCTCACATAATCTAAAAGTGGTCATGTTTTGAAAGAGAAAAAAAAAAGGTAAGAATATGAAGATCATAAAATTTCTCTAATATGAATAGAAGAATGTACAACATTTAAGGGTAACCTTTATGAAACGTAGAATCCAATTACATTAACAACACTAAGTTAACTTCAGTGTCAGCAGGGACTCATCAGCAATAAGAATATCCATACAAAATGTAGAACCCAATTCCACTAAATATTGAGCTGTCTCGAGTGTCGGGGACATATCAGCAACTCCAATTGGTGTTCTGTTAACACTTGTTTATTCATTTTACAGGTACCAAAAAACCTAATCCAAGAATGAAAAGTCTCAACCCATTTTCCATTTTGCAGGTACCAAAAAGCCTAAATCCAAAAATGAAAAGTTTCAACCCATTTTCCAGAAAGGTTTGAGCAACTCTAATCTAGTCCAAATACAGTGACTGAAGCTCCCAAAATATGGCGTCAACATAATGTAATAATTAATGAGAAGATCAAATTCTTAAAGAATATGAAGCTCAATTGAAGACCATGTGTTCTTTAAGGCATTTACTTTATACTATTATGATCCATCTTCATCAATTGAAAATTTCCTGTTTACAAACACCAGTGAAGCCAAACAAAAACACAAAGGGATGTTAAGTTGGTGTAACCTAACACTTTTAAAGGTTTTTATCACAGTTTTAGTGTATATATATATATATATATAACCATCATTTCAATGTTATAGGGTTAGTAAGATTGCAAGAAAAAAGGGTGTTACTCAACTTCAATAATAAGTTGAAGTTGAAGGTTAAGTTTGGTAAAAGCTAGTAGCTAGTCTTATTGTTTTAACCTTTTATAATCCGATGATGTTGCCATTTACATGTGGTTTTGTTCTCCAACCCTTTGAACTCTCTCCATTTAAAGTTTGGCCATTTTTATGCAAGGTTTTAGGTGACTTGTCTCCTTCAAAATTTTAATCTAAATGATTGCTTCATCAGTCCTAGCATGTGTCCAGGTCCCAGCTTTGCCCACATCACTTTCTTCTAAATTTTAACTTGCAAAAAATAAAAATCAATCGACTTCTACTTAAACTATTTTCATTCCAGATAATTTTAATTAATCACCATAATTTCTGGGTTTTTTTTTTTCACAAGTTTAGATGTAGATTGAGGGGTGTTTATTTATTTACTTTTGGAGAATGAGATGCTTTATTTCTGAATATTGTTGTTTTCGTGGCCCTACGATTAGGTAACAAAAACACCAAACAAACAAATTCTCAAGGTGTGGACTCCATCCTTTTAGACTCGTTTAATTGTGTTTGGTCGAATAGTAAGACTAATTAGAGCCTCATTATGTCATTCAACCAGTCATTATCAAGCACTAATTTCGAAGGTCAAATCTGTTTATTTGAAGGCTTATACATTGTATTTAATTGCCTTTAAATAAAGTAGTTCATGCAGCAAATTACTCCGATGGCTATTAGCTTTGGTTGACAACTAAAACACTATAAAATATTACTACTTGTTTGGACGATTATGAGAAAAGTATTGATTTGTATGACCATTTCAATCAAAACCAGTTGGAGAGATTTGGGCACATAATGAGCTTAGGATTTATAAACACCAAACCCAGATGTCCACATCAAGCAATCTCTATTTCTTTTCATCTTTTATAATCTTTTTCCCCCATTATTTAGTCAATATTGCTTCTTATTGGAAGAAGATTGAGCCTTTCTCTTCAAACCAAAGGTACTTAATTTTGTTATGTGTTGAATTTCCCTTCTCCCTCACTCAAAGGCGCCCCCCTAGATCTCTCACTTTCTTGCTCTCTTCCACCCAACTGAATTCTACCTAACATTCATCAATTAAAACCCCATTAATTTTAGTGTTTTTTGCAGTCTAGCATACCAGCAATAGCTAGACATTATAATGGGTTAAAGAACATTCTAATTAATTAATCAAGGACTTGATTAATGTAAACTACTCCACCAGAATAAATCTGTGGAGATAGAATTGTTTAATCATGTATATGAAAATAGAACAAGACCCCACAAAAGATAAGATGGTGAATTTGATTTATAGTGCAAGAAGTATCCAAAAATGTGCAAGGAAAATTTAATTTTTGGTGAGAATGCATCCAACAAATGGGTTTATTTCATTTATTTTTATGAGATTGCTTAATCATAAGAATATATGCATTGTTATTGATACTTTTCAATAACAACAGGTAAATGAGATAAACCGGCAACAAATATTTGTTTTGAAAATGCAGCTCCGCCAGCATGTTGGTGAGTGGCGGCCTAAAAACCCATAAACATAAAGACAGCCAAAAAGTGTCAACGCCGACTAACTCCACTTAATAAAGCTTTTGTTTTCTTTTTAAACTTGGATTACTTAATGAGATCATCCTCAAAACCAGGTATAAAGCATACTCATTGCAAGAAGATTACATAAAATAAAGATCCGTGACAAGCAAAATAATGCAGTAGAATTTGTCATGTAATAAGCCAGATCTAGTAGAAAGTGAGACAACTACTAATCAAATCATGGGTCATTCTTTTTTATAATTTTTTTCCCATGAAATCAAGTAAAAGCATATCGGTCTTGCTTGTTTAGAAGGGATAGTGACTACCCCTTTTAACTTGTTTTTATTCAGTGTTTGACACATGTCAAAAGCTTTGGTTTAGGTGCTCTCCTTATCAAGGCCAAAACACGAAAAAGGGAAAGAAAAGACAGAAAGATTGAGAGAAATACCTAATGCACCATGAGCTTTTGGTCTAATAAGGTCAAGACCTAACCTTCTAAATACTAGGAAATACCTTGCTAAAACTACTAGCTGGATGATCGATTCTAGGTACCCTGTATTTTTTAAAGGAACTAGAACCGGTATTAGAATTGGTTGATTCCTAAGATTTGGAATCGGAACCGAAATCGGAACTTGAAACACAGGTATCGGGTGCCTAGGTTAATTTAATGACCCTAAACTTTAAAAAAAATATGACAAATACACCCCAAATAGTTTACAAAAATTATAATTAAGTCCTGACTCTACTCGAGTATCCGGACCTCGGTTTCGGTTCCAACACTGTAGGAACCGGAATCGAAACCGAAGCCGAGAATTCTCACTTCCAATTTTCTAGAACAGGAACCGAACCCTAATAGGGCTGGTTCCGATTCCACCCTTTACCTATGCTCACCCCTAGCTGTTAATTAAATCAAAACTCAAAAACAACATATTTTTACAAGACAAAAATACGCTTAAGGTGACATTAATCACTTTACTGAACAAAATAGTTGTGTATAAAAATACAACCTTTTTATCCTCACATAGTTGATCGTATATTAGAATTAAGGGATCTATCTAGTAGTTTAAACTACATGACGGATCAAAACTAATAGACTTCGAACCTCAAGGGGTAAATGTAATTACCTGGAGAAAGTTTGTATGAATTTATGTGTAGGTTCGTCGCCACTTACAATTGAAAAGGTGACTGCTAGCTCAAGGCATCAAACAAAGGAGGCTTCACATGGTGGGGTGAAGCTACAAAAATTGAAAGCTAACCTTTCGTTTCTTTTTCACCAATATCGTTATTAATGGCTGGTCCATCAGAGCTTTTGTCTTTCACTCCAGACCTTAATCTTCCCATTACCTTTATAATTTTTCTCTTTTAACCGTTTCTTTTTTCTTTTCCACTCACTAAAACAAGTAGCAACTTGAGTGAATTTCAAGTGTGCCTTAAAAAGTAAGGTTGATAAAGTTACCAAAAATGCTGTGACAGTCTTCTAATCGTCAACCAGACGCTATTGAAAAACTCTTTTGGTTTTCTTTATAGATCAAACCACATTGTTCTTCTAATCCATATTTATTCAGTACCAAATCCTGAAACCCAGTTTCTCTCTAAGTTGCTTATATTTATTTTAAGTACTTGATCTCTATTATTTAATCAATAGTTTGGCCTCTATAATTGGACTAAAAAATTTGTGGGTATTTGATATAACAACTGCTAAGAATGTCAGCATGACGAATATTGAATTACGGAAGTATATTTAACTCTTAAACTTGTTTTTCTTTTTTACAACTCTCTGGATTAACAAATCCAACAAATAAGAAATTTTTTTATTTTTTTATTTTTTTATTTTTTTTTCTCTCTTTGACATTAATAAACTCCCAACTCCCAACAGAGTCTGTTCCGAGACTCTGAACTGAAGCTACCCTTTTCATTATTTGATATGACAGAAGTACCCTTATCAACAATCCACTGAGTTGTCACTATTACACAACATCCCAAAAGGTCAGACCTGTAAATGCACAATAATACTCCAGCCACTAACAGACGATAACTACACAACTAAGCAATCAGTTTTTTCATCTTCTCTGTGTCTTAGCGGCCTCTGAATTTCTCTCTTTGTCAAAGTTAATACATGAATTTGCTTTTAAGTTTTTCATGAAAGCCAAGTATGGGTGAACAAAAACTCAGACAAAACCAAAACCAAAACCAAAACCAAAACTCACCACAATCATCACCCTTTGACAAAACCAATCTTAGGCAAGCCATTGAATTTATCTCTTCTTTGATTTCCCTTTCTTATTCTGTCAAAGTCTTTTCTGTCAAATGGCAGCTGATTCGGAGCAAGTTAGAAGAGCTCAATTCTGGCCTTATAGCCGTTGAGAACTGTGATTCTTGTGAAAACTCTGCTCTTTCAAACTTGATTCCAGCAATTTTGGTCACTGTTAAAGATTGTTATGATCTTGCAAGAATTTGCGTGGATCTTTCTTACAGTGGAAAGCTTTTGATGCAGAGTGATTTGGATGTTATATCCACAAAGTTTGATCAACATGTAAAGAATCTATCCGGGATTTACTCGGCTGGTGTTTTGGCTCATGGTTTTGCAATTATTGTTTCAAGGCCGAGTCTTAATGCTTGCAAAGATGATTTGAGGTTCTACCTAAGAGACTTGTTGACAAGATTGAAGATTGGAGATAAAGAAATGAAAAGACAAGCTTTGATGAATTTGCATGAAGTTGTGGCCGAAGATGAGAAGTATGTGAAACTAGTTGTTTTTGAAGTCAACGAGATTGTGAATATCTTGGTAAATTTTCTTGATTATTTGGATATGGAAATCCAAGAAGAGGCTACAAGGGTGGTTTATGTGATTTCTGGGTTTGATTCATATAAGAATGTTTTGATTGGCGCTGGAGTTATTGGTCCTTTGATTCGAGTTTTGGAAAATGGAAATGATTATGGTAAAGAATTCGCTGCAAGAAGTTTGCAAAAGTTGACTGAGAATTCTGATAATGCATGGTCAGTTTCGGCTCATGGTGGTGTCACGGTGCTATTGAAAATATGTTCTAGTGTTGAAAACAGAGGAGAAGTCATTGGTCCTGCTTGTGGGGTGTTGAGAAATCTTGTTGGTGTTGAAGAAATAAAGAGGTTTATAGTTGAAGAAGGGGCAATTTCCTCCTTTCTCAAGCTTGCAAGATCCAAAGATGAGGTTGTTCAGATAAATTCAATCGAGTTTATTCAAAATATAAGTTATGGGGATGAGTCAATTAGGCAAACGGTGATTAGAGAAGGTGGAATTCGTTTACTAATGCGAGTTTTGGATCCCAAATCATCTTTCTCTTCAAAAACAAGAGAGACGGCATTGAGAGCCATTGAGAAATTGTGTTTTTGTTCATTGAATTCTATAAACATTTTGATGAAGTGCGGGTTTATGGAAGAACTGCTTTACTTTCTTCGAAAGGGCGATGTTTCAATTCAAGAATTGGCATTAAAGGTGGCTTTTAGGCTATGTGGCACTTCAGAGGAGGCCAAAAAGGCTATGGGTGATGCCGGTTTTATGGCTGAGTTTGTTAGATTACTTGATGCAAAATCATATGAAGTACGAGAAATGGCAATTCAAGCACTCTCCAACATGGTTTCTGTCCCGAAAAATCGAAAAAGATTCGCTCAAGATGATCGAAATATCGGGTTACTGCTACAATTACTTGACAAAGAAGATGAAAATTCAGGTAACAAAAAGTTCTTGCTATCTATATTAATGTCATTGACAAGTTGCAATAGTGCAAGAAGAAAAATTGCAACTTCTGGGTATCTTAAAAACATAGAAAAACTTGCAGAAGCAGAAGTTTCGGGTGCTAAAAGACTTGTCAGGAAATTGTCTACTAATAGGTTCCGTAGTATGTTAAGTGGAATCTGGCATAGTTGAATCCAACCTCTGCCCATTGTATATCTAATATTAAGTGTTATCCAAGTTCTGTTTACCTTGTTTTCTCCATCTTTTTCTCCTTTCATTAATTTTTCCTCTACAGCTTTAGAACATCTTTTTGCTTAATGTAACCAGAAGTAGATATCTAATAAAAGCTGTTCTTACTGTTATAGATTCCACTTCTGATATTCTGGCAATTGTTTAACACCAGAGAATGAAATTACAGTTATTTAAGTTTGACATCATAATAATGTTTTGGATGTATATTATCACATGGGAAAGGCCTGATGCGCATGTGAATAGCGGCAATCAAGCTTTTGTCTCTCTAAATTTATGGACGAAGAAGATAATTGACACATGAAGTCCCTTGTGCATTTTCTTTGTCTTATTTCCAGCCCTTTTCTCCTTGTAAGATAATCACAACTTAAACTAATTGAAACAGAATTCTGGGCTTGTGGGATTTGCAGAATTGGGACATGGCGATAAGCCCATTTGTGTCAAGTGTGAAGCTAAGCTTTTGTAGGGTAGAGGTAATTTTGATGATTAAGGGAAGCTGGTGATACAAGTTATGTGGACAGTGAAGAGACGTCTTGATCTTTGACAGGTTGTTAGTGTTGTCAATCAGAGACCCATGTGTTGGTAATGAATTGTTTGTGGGTCTGGAAGTTTTATTAATTGAGAAGCTCGTGTATGAAAATGGACTTTATACGGTAGCATAAATCATAATCCTGTGCAAAAAGATATTACTCATCTTATTGTTTGCTTTTAGTTCAAAGCTGAATGATTATCGGTTTGGTATCTACACTCTCTCTTTCTCCATCACAATTCACACGCTAAATAAATACAACCCGTAAATCAAACGAATTTCGATAAATTCGTTTTTAATGCCAAAATCAAATGGCATGATCCCTGCACATTGAAATTGAGTTAAAATTTTATGGAAGACACAAAATCAAACAAGTTGCATTCTAATTTCCAACCTTTTTTTGAACACCTCAAGCACCAAAACTTACCTTTGTGCTGCAATGGTCGACTGAAGATAATATTTTTGATTGAAATTTAGAAGTTGGAGGTAAGATATTGTAGGAAACTAAACATAAGAGATCACATCCCACTACGTATTCAGAAAGCATAAACTGCATGATACTGACCAGTAAAAGCATGCCAACATCGTTTGTCTCAATGCAAAATTTATCTCCTTTATTTGTACTTGGCAGTGGCATATACAATAGAAGCTCCTAAATAATTTGTACTGGGCCAATGTTTGCTTCATATGAGCACCAATAACATGAGGCCCTACGCCAGCCCAAACTCCAGAACTTTCATTGGCAGTTTTGTGATCTAAAAACTTTACAAATTTCTACTGGCTGTTGGCAATTTGTTTGAATGTTCAGTTTCGATTTGGATTAAACTTAAAAGCTTTTGTTTGTCAAAATATTTGGTTTATCAGTGCTGAGTTTGAAATAGTAGAACACATGGAGTGTCACATCTCATATTGTTAGAGAATGACTATCAGAATCAGTTTATAAGATTTGGGTTCTCTTAACTTAGTAAACATGTTTTAGGTGAAGAATACTTACATGAAGTCTAGAATCAAACCTATAGAAGCCTCCCAAAATAGACAATATTTTTGGCCAACTGGTATTAGAGCAAGTCGGTTTAGGCTTAGACCTACATAGAACTGTGTTTGGGTTTTATGCGAGCATCATTTTTGTGGCTAAGCCTTATAAATTTAATTTAGTGATTCATTAACAATGGGAATGAGAATTTTTTTTTTTTTTTTTGGGAATGTTAAAATAACTAAGATATGTTTGGTCATAAATGTCTGAGATAAAAGATACAAAGACCATGCACAAATTTGTGGTTTTGTTCTGTTTATTATACCATGTAATGTAAGTCATTATGTTATATTTAAAGTTCAACCATTCCCATCAGTTTAATGTTTGCCAGCTATATGTAAGCCTGAATGACCAAGTTTAGATGAAATTAATAGTTCTTAGCGTGCTGTGTTTCCCCCTTTTAATGACATTCATGAATACCCTCTTTAATTGAGCATTAAGTTGATTGATTTCATGTTGTTGCCTGGTTGGTCCATGTAATTTTTGGAAATAGCAAGCAACAATAAACCATTCAGATGTTGTTTTCAACATGAAATTATGGTTAATTAGAGAGACAACATGTGAACATGCCAGTGGTGGGCTGGCATGAAGAAGATGGGTTTTTATTTCTGTCTATTTATGGGGCCCTGAGCCAGAGGTGCTTTCCTTGACAGACGTCCTGCCCATTGATGCTCTGTCTTCTGATATACTGCAAAATATCAATACTAAAACTGTTTAGAGCATGCTTAATTGATAACAGCCGTTGGATTTCAGATTATGATATCAATTTCTACTAATTCTACTATTATTATGAATCCATAAATACTATGGTTGTGTTTTATAACGGGCTCATGTCATATAATACAATGCAATTGCATAATATTTGCCCCAAATAATTTCAAGGGGTTGGCTTGACAGTCAAGAATGTTTGCTTCTTAAGTTCAAATAGTGAGACTATTTACTACAATAACATTGTGGTTTATCTGGTCTTTTAGGCTTGTAAGGTGTTCAATGGATCCCGAGAATTAGTTAAGGTGCGTACAAACTGGTTTGGACACCCCAGTTACCAAAAAAAGAAAAAAATTACCCCAAATATCCACTAGTATTTGACAACTGTATCACCACTGGAAATTAGCAGGTCTATTGATAACAAATTAAATCCCATCATCTTACTAAAAATAATGGGCTTCTTTTAATGTAAATCAATACATAATGGGCCTGCGTGAAGCTTTACTGAATCAAGAAGCAGCCCAATATTAAAATTTCGGCTTCGTATATTTCTGAATTCTGGGAGCACCGAAACAACTGAAGTTTGATCATAAATCATACGATAAAACTTAAACTGTGGTCACATCAAATCAACAAACAGAAATGACCCGAATGTTAACTCATGACTGGTATATTAATGATAGTAATAATATTAAACATATGTTTGATTTTTTTTTTTGTAAAATGATGAGAATTTAGGTTCATTTTGTTGACTGTTTATTTGAATTCTAGTACTGCATATGAACAGCTTTTTCTTATAATAAATGAAACCCATTGGGACCACTGACAGTACAAAAACTGTTTTAATTTTGCATCCCTATCTGGTGTTGAGTTGTACTGCAGGAATGGAGGTATGGTTAATGAAACTGAACTCATTCTTGATATTACTGGCTAAATTTAGATGGGATTTGGTGAATACAAAATCTGGGGCATGCGCATCTAGGATTCTGTAATAACTAATAACAAAACCAAGTTGAGTTTTTAAGTATTATTACTTGAAGTTTAGTTTGAAAAAGAGGAATCAATGAACAGAGCCATGTGGAAAGATGGCAAGTCCTTTCTGTGGATTGGTTGGTGGGAGGCAATTTGTTGCAGTAAACACTTAAACTATTTCAACGGTCATATTCATTATTTTATCACCAATTTCTTGACTAAACCTACCACTAATGACTTGCTGGGGTCAAGAATATTATCTTCATACTTTAAATTAATCCAAATTTAATTATGCTTTTTTTTTTTAAAGAAATTGATTGGTAGATTCAGTCAAATGAGGTTCTATTTTTATCTGAATCGTCACCACTTTCAGGTTAAAAAACAGCAACTTGGGAATGAAGATTTATATTTAAAATAGCAGTCCAATTTGCAGTAAAAGTTAGGGTTAAATTTTAAAAATAGAGAAGAATATATAGCAGAAGCCAGAAAGTGGAGTGTGGACCTGCATTCATAATGAATGTGCGGAATTGACGTATCAAGTTGTGAAGCAAGATCAAAGAAGTTTCCCAGGTATGGGTTCGATTCAGCACTTCAATTTTAAGAGATGGTCCACTNTGGAAAGATGGCAAGTCCTTTCTGTGGATTGGTTGGTGGGAGGCAATTTGTTGCAGTAAACACTTAAACTATTTCAACGGTCATATTCATTATTTTATCACCAATTTCTTGACTAAACCTACCCACTAATAATATTATCTTCATACTTTAAATTATTCCAAATTTAATTATGCTTTTTTTTTTTAAAGAAATTGATTGGTAGATTCAGTCAAATGAGGTTCTATTTTTATCTGAATCTTCACCACTTTCAGGTTAAAAAACAGCAACTTGGGAATGAAGATTTATATTAAAATAGCAATCCAATTTGCAGTAAAAGTTAGGGTTAAATTTTAAAAATAGAGAAGAATATATAGCAGAAGCCGGAAAGTCAGAGTGTGGACCTGCATTCATAATGAATGTGCGGAATTGACGAATCAAGTTGTGAAGCAAGATCAAAGAAGTTTCCCAGGTATGGGTTCGATTCAGCACTTCAATTTTAAGAGATGGTCCACTTAATTAATACCATGTTCTTTGTATTACTTTTCTCTGCACACTCAATTTTAAGCTTCAACTCAACACTTAGAAATTTTAGGTATCTGTAGAGTTTAGTTATCAGGGTCAGTGACTTTAATTTTAGAGTAAACGGTTTTTTTTTACCCAAATAATAGTTTAATGACACTTTTTCACCCACAGACTTTTAAAATATTATTTTATTATACAAATTTATATTATGTTTTCAATTTTAGTATTGTTGTAACCCCATACTATCACCATTCTCTTTTCCGATCATCACTCATCAAAACCCCTTAAATCCTACTTCTGCCTACCTTACCAATTGCCGACAATCGAGTGATTAGAGTTTACACAGTTACCTCTTCCAAGTCAAATTCCAATCAATCCCAATTACAAAAATCAAAACTTCTACCACTAAAAGACTCATCGGCTTCCCCTCTTAAAAACCTTCAATAGCTTGGAACGAGTTTATTATTTATTTATCGTTGAAATATAAATTTAAATAATAAAATGATATTTTAAAAATACGTGGATAAAAAAATGTCATTAAGCCGTTATTTGGTTGAGAAAAGTCATTAACTCTTAATTTTATGCACAGATCAATACCCATCTGACACTGAAAAAAAAAAGCAAATGAATGAATAAATAAATAAATAGATGGAATGTTTAAGAAATTTAAGCAAGCATGTGTTTATAATTAATAAATAGCCAATAGAGAAACCGCCTCAGTGTCTTGTTGTTTATTCTCCCTCACAACAACAAAAGTTGCCGATCCTTGGCTTGATTTTGAATGAATATTTTATGAAGG